AGATACTTTACCTAACCTCAGGAGGTCAATTACACAATAGGTCTAGGAAGTGTAACTCAGACTATGACAGGGAAATGCAAGGTGGGTGCTGTGTGGCCAAAGGGCTGGAGTACCCAACACAGCCCAGAGAGGACCCCAGAAAAATGAACCTGTGGAAACTCATAATTGAGTCATTGACCTTCCCAGCTTTTTCAAAAGAGAAAGGCCAATGAGTCACAATTATGCTACAACTCTAGACCATCTGAATTTCTTCCAATCTACTGGCTTAAGGACTGTTTAATTCTTGGCTCTCTGAAAAACTCAAAATTAAAAAAAAAAAATCTGTCTTTTTTTTTTTTTTGCTCTGATTTATCTCAGTCTTCAAGTTGTACTGGCTTCCTGGATATATCACTCAGATAATCCACTATCTTATATAGTGTCCGAAAGCCATAGTCACTCAGAATCCCCCATTCTTACAAAAATAAAATCAAATCCTAAGTTTCTCATTCTGATTCATTGAGCCACGATCCTCCCAAATAAGAAAACCTGAGAATAACATAAATACTATTGGATATTTATTAGTCCTACTGCCACACTTACAGACGGAAGGATAAATAACTTACCCAGTGCCATGATTAGCAACAGAATTCACGGCCTCCATCTAAGCTCATAATAAACAACAAAAATGGAAAACAAACTCAGAGCCAGATATCCAAAATTATTCTAATTCTAATATACTCTATACTTGAGGTATTCATCTGAAGGATATAGAAAATAGTGGCACTTTTACAGGACGCAGTTAAATGAGGTAATTTACCGCAGTAAATAGGACATAGTAGATGTGTAAGAAATGCTTGTCGAATCACTCACTCCTTAAATTGACCATTTCTAATAGCATTAGTTCTCTCTTACCTTTCCTTCTCTGACTCATCTCTTCCCACTGTCTCTGACCTAAGGCCCTACCCAGCCTGCAAAAGCAAGCCATGACTGATCTCGCTTTCCCTTTTCCAGCCCGAATCTACCCACACACTATTGCACTGCCAACCTTTTAAAAATCCTCTTCAACGGGGGAAAAAGGAGACATATGTAATACTTTAAACAATAAAGGATTACAGAAAATAAAAATAAAAATCCTCTCCCTTTAAAAAAAAAAAAAAGAGAGAGAGATTGTACTGCCTACTGGCAAAAGAACACAAATTTCATCCTATGTTCATCTTAACTACCTCAGTTTGGCCCCATAAGCCTTTTCAAACCATTTTTCCCGTGTTTCCAGTGTGCACACTTTATTTCTCTGGCTGGCTTCTTGGGCCACTCGCTATCAGCCCTGAGTTCAAGTGATGCCATCTCACCACCTCCTAGAAGCCTACTCTGGCAAGTTTAAATGGGCTTTTTTTCTCAGAATCAAAGGCATTAGTGGCATTCTATCTTGTATTGTTCTCTAATTGTTTTACTCATAAATGTGGCAACTCTGGTTCTCTGAACAGATTATAACTCTGACCAAGTTTTCATAAGTCTTGTACTTAACATCCCTTCCACAGTGCCTAAAATGTATTGTAGTATAATAAAAAGTGTAAAGAATGCTAAATAATCTCAATTCTTATAAAAGCAAGTGATAGAAGATTTTCCCTGTAATGCCAATTCACACAGTTAATCATTTCCCCAATCATTTCAGAAACTATATTCTGAGATTTATAGGAAGTGAAAATTAGCAAGTGAACAGAACATTTTAATACTATAACACAGGATTATTTCTGTAAAATAACCTGGCACATATAGTATATTTCAGGCAAATTTCGTTTGTCAAGATATATCAGGGATTCCTTTAATTAAAAAATACAGTTACATCTACATTGTGAACTGTCTTCTGGAACCAAAGCATTGCTGTCTGCATCTGTGGGGACCGAGCAGGGAGTGTGCTGGTTTAGGGTTAAAGGCAAACATTTCTAAGGCTGCTTTTATCCAGTCCCAAAGTTGTAAATGAGAAATTCTGTTCCTCATACCTCACTTTTCACAATGTTGAGAGTTACTTTATATTTACTGTTTTTAAGAGAGCTTCAGTATTTGCCACACTCTACCTGTTGGGGGAATGCCTTGTTTTACAAAAGCACTCATACAACACCCTAAGGGTATGCCTGCTTCCGGAATCTTGGCTATCATGTCAAATAACTAAACTATTAGGTGGCTGTGGTTCATAAAAAAAATAAGATAATAATAATAATAAACATCAAACAGATTGCATGCCGAGTTAACTGGCTAATTCTGAATGACGGCAAATTAAACATAAACAGGGCGAAGGATCATAGACATGATGACATCGGTTTCCACTGTATTTTCAATTTCACATCTTGCTTTTGTGAAGTTTCTGGGGAAAAGAAAAAGTACAAAAGCTCTTATTTGCACCACAGATAACCTAAATTTAAGTATATATGTGGTGGGATCTTGTAGCAGTTGAGGTGTTTTCTTACTCTCATCTCTCCTGAGTTTTCTAGCAGTAACAATGGAATATTATTATAATCATGATAAACTTCCAAGAGAAGATATACTCAGGGTCCTTCTAAGGAGGGAGTTTATATCATTAGATTAGTAAAGCTAACAGGGCATCTATATTTTACCCAGAGTTAAGAAAAAAAAAGTATAGACTATGATCTCTCACTTTAACATTAATACACTGAAAATTCAATTCACTAAGTTCTAGTGTTTTCATTATTATAATTCTCTCACTTATTAAGAAAGCAGTTTTGCCAGTTTCTTTCCTTTGAAATAATTCCAGCTTTTTACTATTTGGAGAGTTAATTCCAATAGGGCATAAAGCAGATGATAGACCCATTTGCTTTAGTTTTAAAAGTACCTATTTTACAAATCTTGAATTTCTCCTCTTCGATATAATCAATCACGTTAAATTTTTTTAAGTTTAATGTTTTTATGAGAACCAAATTAACAAAATGCCTGATAAATAATGCAAACCAATAGATATTGTTTGAATGCAGGTATTAACTGAAATTAAATAAGACTTTCCAAATACCATCTGTCTTAAGAAAGTAAGTTTGGCCATCATAGGCTACGATTCTCAGAATTGATCTAAATTCTTCCTAAGGTCACTGAGTTCATGATATTAAATAAAAGTTTTAAGATAAAAGACACACTACTATCTCATCTACTTAAAAAAAAAAAGACAACTATAAGTTCGGTTAACTGTATGAATAAGCATTTTATTCATGAGTTAACTGCATTTTTTCCCCCAGGAAATAGTGTGATAGAGAAAACTCAAGAACCTGGAACTCAAATGACAGTTGGGAAAAATTCAGAATCTTGGTTGCCTTTAAAGTTATGTTCATTATCATAGTAAAGTGTTCATTATTTACAACTCCTTTCCCCCTCTGTTTGGCCACCTACACACTCCATTCCGCAACCATAGAAGTAAATATGTCTAAAGTTGGTGTTGGCTTTGATAAGCCATGGTGATGACATCAGCCTGAATTCTGTGACCATGCAGCAACCTGTGGGCAGTTAGGTCCCAACATAGCTCTCCTTGTCACTACTTGTTGTCACTGATTTGTAGCCAAGATTTGTGCTCTAAATATACTACACCCGTTAAACACAGGTATTCTGGAATATTTGCTTTGTCAAATGAAGGAGATGTTGGGAGGGAAAAGGAACTAGGGGTCTATTTTTAAATACAAGAGATTTAAAACTGTAAGTGGTACACAACAATTTTCTTTAAAACATTTTTTTAAATTTATTTTAGAGAAATAGGAGGGAGAGGGAAACATTGATTGGCTGCCTCCTGCATGCAACCCAGGCATGTACTTTGAACAGGAATCAAACCAGTGAACTCTAGGTGCATGGGATGCACACTCAACCAACTGAGCCACACTGGCCAGGGCAATGCCAATGTATTTAATATCACTGAACTGGACACTTAAAATGGTAAATTTTACCACAATTGAAAAGGAAAAGCTACATGTGTGTGGGTTCTGAAAACTATATCCATGGGTTTCAGAAGTTTCTCACAACTGTCTAATAAATTTCCAGGTCCAGTATAAAAATTTGTGAAAACTCTGCCAGGTCGCTCTTTCTGCAGCATAGCTTCTATTAAGCCAGTCTGCTTGAGGCCTCAATAATCCTCCATTCACCAGGAATTCGTAAACAGCACTTACCCACAGAAATCTCCAGCTAAAAGTAACATAGAGGAAAGTATGATGTAAGAGTGGCTGTTAGACAAGGAGCCTGTGGCCACATCATTTGCTCCCAAACTGTGCGCCCCTGTGCGGAGCTAGGAAGCGCAGAAACCTCTACCTCCTACCCCAGGATTGGCCTTACTCCCAGTCCTGAATAGTTGCCAACAGGGCAAGCAAAGGCTGGTGGGCAGGAGTTACAAGGCCTCCGGGCCCACTGACTCACTGACAGTTCGAGCGCTTCCAGAAGGGCCAGCACCATTCCGAAGGGCTGGGGCTGGCTGCAGCCAGCGGGCCCTTCACTCTCCTGCCTCTAATCTCAAGTGAGCCTATTAGGCAGGCTAGTGCGGGCTGGGCTGAGAGAGCCTCAGAGGCTCCAAAGCTGCAAGAGCTGTGCCTGCCTGGGGTCGCAGGTAGAGGACTTTTGCAGACTGATCATCGCTTCAACGTGCAAGAGGTATTTGAAAGAAGGGGAAAGCCCAGAGCCACAGGCTTCAGCTGTCATTGCCATTCTGTTTATAATGCACCCAGGAGAAACCTTTACCTCTGCACACGCACTGAACTCAGACCCGGGTATCCTCTTACTCTCTCCGATCTAAGTGTGAGCGCCCGTGTGGTCTCCACGTGTGTACAACCAGAACCTAATGCCATGTATGGGACTTTGAAGGCGCTCAGCAAGTAAGTGAGGAACTCAACTATGAAGCTGCAACCAAGAAAGCACGGGCAGAAAGGTCTCCCCAATGTTCTCTAGATGCAAACACTCCTCTGCAGGTGCTGTCACTTGGAGTCGTCTCCCTTGTCTGCAGGTGCCCCACCCAGACTTCTGCACACCCTGGAACTACCTACCAGCAATGGTGACCAACAGACCGACAGCACGCACATGATCCCCATGAGCTGGATGGCCGTCTCAGTGGTGATCCTACCCCACTGGGCGCTGGACTGCGATGCCATGGCCTTGGCCCGGCAGCGGGATACCAAGGCCTGAATGGTGGCCAGGTTGCAGGCGAAAGTGATGGTCAGCGCAGAGAGCCCCAGGAAGGCAAAGGTGGAGGCGAAGAAAAGGTTGCCCCAGTTGTGCGGGGAGCTAGTCCCGTTGCCGCCTCCCCCGGTGCTAATGAAGCACCACGTCCCGGGCCACTGGACGGTGTAATGGCCCACGCCCAGCACGGGCAACAGGGCGAAGGCGAGCACCGCCAGCCACACGCCGAGCAGCACCCAGCGGGTGGCGCGCGTCTTCATGTGGCTCGCGTACCAGTGCGGCGCCCGGATGGCCAGCGCCCGCTCGATGGCCATAGCGCTCGCGACGAAGAGCGAGGAGAGGCCAAAGACGGTCATGGTCAGACCAAAGAAAGTGCACAGCCTCCCAGAAGGGTCCAGGTGCTCCCAGCGCTGCTTGGACAGGTACACGACGATGACCACGGGGCTGGTGAGCAGCTGCCCCACCATGTCCGTGAGCGCCAGCCAGCCGATGCACAGCAGGAAGGACTTCTTGCGCTTGCTCTCCCGGCGCCGGTAGCTCCGCGACACCAGCAGCATGGCCAGCGCGTTGCCCACGAAGCCGGTGATCAGCATGGTAATCGGGTACACCACGGACACCGAGCGGCAGTCCTCGCCGGTCCCCGGGGAGCGCGTGAGGTTGCCCCGCGCTTCCTGGGAGCGCTCGGGCGCCCACATGCCCGGGAAGGAGTGGTTGAGGCGGGTGCAGAAAGGGGCGCTTCCGTCGCCCCGGGCTCCCTTCATGTCTGCTTCGAGGTGAGGGTAGGACGGCGCCCAGAGAAAAGCAGCGGTTGCTGGCAGGCGGGGCGCGGGAGGCGGCGGCGGC